TGGAAGGAAAAGCTTGTCTCCATGGGATTAAAAGTTTGATAAGAGTCTTTCTAAAAAAGAACAGTAATTCTACTCTCAAGAACTCGATAACTGTGTAACAGTGCTGACACAAATTTCCACCTGACCTTTCTCACTTCTGACAAGCAATCGCCTGTCTTTTGCAACTATCCACAGTTTGAGAGGATTTATTCTTCACTCTCCGTGTAAATGAAGTATAAATGGTTTCTCTTACATTTTAGCGTCACATGGTTTCCAAGCTCTAATCTTAATGATGTCTTGCCAGACTGTACACCAAGCAAAGGTAGGAGTCATATACCTCTAGACAGAGAACAAGCAATACGAAGTTCTTATTATATCAAGTTTCTCAGTGTAAAATTAAACAAGAACCTGTAGTCATAGCTGATTTTTAAATAGATTAAAAAGCACAGTTTGATAGCCTCTTAATAAGGAAGCTGAATTCAGATCATGTAGAAGTCAGCTACGTTTCCATCTCTGCATGCTAGAACCGCCTGTCAATAGATGAAGTTCCTCATACTGGCAAGACACTACAATATTTGTAAAGACCATTTACATCGGATTTCATTGAGCAACAGCTGTAGACTTGAAGATTTTAACTTTGAAAAAGTTAATCCTTTTAATGTATCTGCATCTGCACAACCCATTCGTATGATGGACATAATTTTCTTTTTTTCACCGGTCTTCCATAGTTTTGTTACCATGTTTCTGTGGAGGACTAGAGACAGATAGCTGTGCAACGACACGGTGAACAAACTTCTGCTCTCCTAACAGTCTCCAGTGAGTATATAATCTGTAACTCCCTGAGATATTATCAGTTTCATGCACACAGTATTTAATTAGTCTCTTGCTCTAAAAGCCAGCCTTGGGTGTCACTTAAAAGATGCATCTATTACACAATGGAATGACAGGAAGACTTATGAGTTCTCGTTATGAAGCAAGTCTTGAGAAATTGAATTACTGAACTCTTTGCCATCAGTAAGTACCCCTTCGCCCTTTTTTCTGCTGCCTCCAAGAAGAGCCCAAAGCGCCACCTTCTGTTTAAAAACTGGAACCACAAATAATAATGCAAGCAGCAGGTGAACTACTGGGGTGAGTCATTCACACATTCAAATCTACCTGGTTGGGTACCAAAAAATAAACATGTTTTCCTATTAAACAGCTCAGCGTATGTCATATCTGACAGAGCTGCTGCTCTTCTAGAACAGCAAGCAAACGAACAGCTAGACCATAGCTGCCCAAGTGGCATGCATCCAAATCCAGACATCAAGGATATTTTGCCTAGATTTCAGCAAGTGACCAAACGAGTAACACTTTGTGCGTTTTTGCAGAAAATTGAAACCTCATAGAGCACTTCAAGCATGTTATCACAATTTCCAGCAGGAAGACAGCATGCAATATCCAGGAGGCCCAAAGCTGAAGTGAAGATAAACAGATTTTGATAAAATTACACCACAGACCTCACACTAACGTTATTCATTGGACTCTTACGACAAATGAACAGCCTTAAATTAGAACAATGTAATTAACACATGCAAGTACAAAATTTGGGAGTATAGAAGAACAGTCCACTCTAAGAGCTGCTCCCCCAATACAGAGAACATGAGAGATTATAAGGACAACAAAATTAATCTTCAGAAAAAAAAATCAGGTTTTCTTATCATTGTTTTTCTGGGGGAGGAAGGAGGTCAGATGAGGAATGAGCCAGACAGGCACACCGTGTGTTGATCAGACCTATCCTTGTAATAATTAGAGTATTAAAGAAGTTTTTATTCGCATCTTCAATTTACAGTCTAGCAATGTAACAGATGTATTTACTGTCAAAGCTACAACAGAACTTGCAACATATTTGGCTAAAATTAAAAGAGGGAAAAAATATCATGTAATATTAGATCACACTTCAACCAAAAGACTGATTTGTTTTATCTATTTGAAAGACCAAGAAAAACTATAAATAACCCATCAATTCCCAAATCTAACAATAAATTGGGCTATCCTTTTCCATCAACCTCTGTAAAATAACCTTTATTTCAGCAGGCAGCTCCAGAGTAAATGGGTCCTGATCAATGTAGAGTCACAACTGAGAAATTGCTCATCAACAAACACAAAATAGGTGGTAGCCTTGTAAGTCAAACTGGATTCAGTGCAGTAAGGAGAAGATGACACTCAGTAGCTCACAAAAAGTTTTCATTATGATAATTACGAATTAAGTGTGGTGACATCATACTAATCAATTACACTCCTTTTATTATCAGTCAGTGACCTCTTGGCCAATTCATGCCCTGGCTCCTCTGATTCAACTCACTTTTGCAATAAAAGTGACTATGAAGGACATTTCCACGATACAGAGAATACAGTGCCCTTATGATGAGAAGAGACATAAAAAAACCAGACAGGCTGCAAACTACCCGGAAAAACGAATTTCCACAGTATTCTTTCTTAAATTCTCTTTTAAAAGAGTCCAAGTTGCCATTCCAGATACTGTAATGAGCACAAGCTGAACTATTACTGTCTTTCCAGAAAAGCTTAAGAAGTTACGGGGCAGAACGATCCCAAAACAAGTGCTTAAATTTCTGTACTGTTAGATCTAAACACTGTAGAAAAGACACAGAGCCAAATTACATTCTAGTGCAACTCCGGCAAAGTTGCCAGAGCATCTGTAGAATAAGAGGGAAAAAAAAAAAATGGCTGAAATGAAGAAGGAAATCTTGGACTGAGTACAGCCCTGAGAGACCAGAATTAGGACTGATTCACTCAATATTTTTAAATAATGATTCGGGCACAGGAAGTAGAAGTACATTAATGAAATTTTGCGATGACAGTAAGTTGGGAGGTGTTGTCAATACAGAGGCAAACTGAAGTACCATTAAGAAACAATCAGATGACCTTTAAGATAGGAACGCAGGGGCAAGGCAGCACACAGAGGATTTCTCTTATAAGCTAAGAGCCAATCAACTAGAAACATGGGAGAAAGACTGGAGTGTCTTGATCTCAGAACGATTACAAAGCTTCAGTGTTATCGGACTTGTCTCCCTATCTTTCATCCAAGCTAAACAACTGCCACAGCCAGTCAAAAACTCAAACCAGCTCTATTTTAATTAAATAAAGGCAGCAAAATTCAAAATAAATGCAATACTAAGTCAGAAATGAATGAGATTTTCAGCTGCTGCTAATTTGGGGAGGACCCTCCAAAAGTGTGCTGACTATACCAACCTTTCCTCAGTTGTCTCCAAAATGGCTTTTTCTTCTCGTTTTCTCTAGTCCTAGTTTCTCTCGCTCTGTAGCCTGAAAAAACACTAGCCTCAGTGTATATATCTGTTTAAAAAGATATTTACCTATCTTAGTAAAAAGATATAAAAAAAATTTCTTTTCAGAAAGTATGCAAAAAAATAGGTGTACATAACACTTGAGAATAGAAAGAAAAATAAGGCAAAACTCTGTTCCCTGCCTGAAAAAAAAAAAAAAAA